TGTCGATATCGTGACTTTAATGAAGTTGGAAGTTTTCTTTTGGATCGGTATAAGGATATATTTGGAAATAGTTTGCCTTTCTTTGATATACCACCATATTAATGGCTAATAAATTGCGGGAATTTTCTCGGTCAGTTAATTCAAACAAAAGTTCCCCTAAAGTCGCCTTTAAGCAGGCCAACATATGCCGAAGAAAACCCCATGCCTCGAACAATTGATCAACTTTACCAGCTATTGTATTCACGTATCGGAGTAGGCCGACACCCATTCTTTATTACCCCTTCTATATGGTATACACCCCTAGTTTGGCTATACTGCAACAATAGCCCCGGATATTGGGCGTATAAAAAGTTACATATGTATGGCGCAACTTTAGTTGCCAATTGGGGGAGTGTGTGTTCGCCTGGCCCCGGGGTCCTCAATTAATTTCATTTAGGGAGTGGCGCACAAGGAGGCCCCCGGCTATAGCTAAACACATCCAAACAAAAGAGCCAGACACACACAATATTTTCAATTAAGCTGCTGCAATACCAGCAGAATAATAACAATTACAGCATGTACATGAGTACAAGTAGAGCGGCACGGTTTAAAGGAAACCGCCTGCGAAGGAGTCTGTAGTCCTTTCTTGGAAAATCACTTTCGTACTGCACTCTGTCGATTGTCGATGGAAACAATGAACTAAATTAAAAGGCTCTCTTCGAATTTAAGCTCAGTTTAATTGAAGGCATCTCAAGTAAAAATTTTGAATCTCAGTTACTTTAAAAATTTATTTAAACTAGAGATACTAACAGAAATATCCATGGTCAAAGTATTTTGATTATTTAATACCTCAAATAATCTTACACAATAATAAAGATCAATAAAAATATAATACTAATCCTAATTTATTATAATAATAAGATATAAAAACATCTTAATATATACAAAAAATGTATAAAATACAATCTATAATTCAAGATCCGGTAAAAAGTGTTATAATAAGAACCCCCAGTTAGTTAAAATTTGTTAACCAAACCTATTAGATTAGGATTATAGATATTTAATATTTTAAATTAGAAACATAAAATGATTTTTAAGAAAATGATTTAACATCAAATCCGACTTTCTGTTATAATAAATACCCGGCATTCCCGTCTATCCAAGCCTGTTAAACATAAACCGAGAACAAACCGCAAGTGGATGTGGAAAATCGGTGATGTAGGTAGGTGTAGGTTCGAGGCAGCGGGGATGTTTGTGCTGTAGCAATTACAGAAATACACGACAGAGGAGTGGGGCAAAGTTACATACAGTTCTGCAAATGAATTGCTGACAATTAGTTGAATTTGTTGGCGCAGTCAGCTGTGGCAAGCTGGAAAACTTGGAGAGCGGCAATCAAAGCAGAGCTGCCACAGCGGGCGCCTCTTGATGAGACCCTAAATCCTTGCCCACTGCTGTGGCAATTGCAGTTGTTCTTGTCCTGGTTATGGTTATGTCAGACCAAACTTTTCTATTGCATTAGTTTTGTGTCAATAATAATAAAATTCCCACAGACTGAATGATAGTATCTTTAGCTAAATTTTATGGGACACTCATGTGGTTAAGTCAAGGTTATTTAGCAGGAAACCAAAATTTATATACCTTGATATAATAAGTGCACTTTATCTATTCTCCATTTAGCAATTCCAGCTATAAGCATCCTTAGAAAAAGAGTTCAAATTGAGTTTGAAGAGCTGTCATTCAACACATTTGCCAATCTAATATTTATATCCCTCGAAGAGGTCATTAACATTCATTTAGCTGGGTAAACAATGCCATGAATAAACAATTAAACGTTTTTGACTGTCCATCGCAGACACTGAACTTCTCGAGCAGAACAAAAGCTCCACACTTGACAACTTTACGGAAGTGCTTTTCTTTTCTACTTCCAGGAAAAGAATAGCATCGCAGCATCTCGAGTTTCAAACTGGACACTCGAAGAGTCAACAGTTTGCTATAAAAATGCCAGCAGCCCGTTGCAAATTGCAATTCAAACTATGCACGTGTTAATTATTTATTTGCCCAACTCCTCGCCCAAAAGAAATTCCACGCAAGGTACGATAAATCAGTTGGCCATAAGAAGCTATCGCCTTGTAAATTCCACCTTTTGCGGAGGAAAAGAGTTCCACGTATAAATTATACAAATTATTATTTAACTCCTAGTTGCACAAACGACTCTGAGATTCGAGGACCGAATTCAGTGAGGGAAAAATGTTATGGTAAGTATTATATTATTATTTTTACAAGAATTTCCACCTATCCTAAAAATGGGTAAAATATTATTTTACTTTCTTATCTGAGCTTGTATTATAAATATTTAATATTTTTCATTATCTATCTATCTTATTATATTATTATAATAACCAGAATATTCAATAATCCCTTAAATGGGAAGTATATTGCTCAAGGTAAGATAAATGAAATAAATTATGGGAATATATTTTGTGAAATATGTTATTATTCGATTATTTAGATTAATTAGATTTTAAGTTTTTAAATCGTTCAGGAACTTTTTCTCTCTGCACTTCTTGGCATGTGGCTTGGTTCTTGGTCTTGGCCCAAGTTATGCACAGACAAATCGCTTATTTAGATTAGAGCTGACAACCGAGGTGGGGGAAGATTGCAGCTGGGGCCAGAAGAAGGAGCTCCAGAACGCAGGCGCGGATGCAAAGATTCACATATATGTATTGCCACAACTGGTTGCAAGATCTCTATTCGCACAGCAATTTTCTGGTTTGTTTTTCTTTATTGAAGGCGTGTCTATGTTGTTCAACAGACTTACAAACTGTCTACTTAGTTTAAGCCCAGCTAGTACGTTCAACGTAATTGTGAGGCGAATCCGCGGGTAACCGGTGATCATTTTCAATTAGAGACCCCATCGTGGGGCATGATTTAGAAGCTGTTGTGGGTAAGACGGTAGCTTGATTCCGATTATGGGATAAGTGCGGGGGCATCGTTTATAAAGCCAAAGCTAACGAACCAATGACTCGAAGCACTTTGCAGATTGTTGTTAGATTAGCGTTCGTAATAAATGAGGCTTCTCCCCGATGGAAGGAGCTGGGTGTTGTCTAGACTTGTGATTGCAAAACAGCGAGTTAAAAAAAGGAAAGTCTCTACCTGACTCGGCGCATTTGTCATAATAAAATTAGCATTTGCCTGGGTCAACAGGAGACTCAGAACAGCAGGACAGCAGGCACAGGATGCAGGACAACCAGGGGTGACAGCAGTAGCAAAACTTATCAGAGTGTTGACAGACACGCCCCCTCGAGAAGGAAGACTCTGAACAACCAGGTGAAACTGTGCTAAAATTAAGACACCCTTTTTAAAAACAGGAAATTTTTCGTAAGCAGTTTTTGAAGTAAAAAAATTTAAAACACATAGTTTTGAAAGGGATTTAAGTCACTATTGCACAAAAATGAATATGAAAATATATAAAACTATTCTAACACGTAATATTATGTTAAAAATACTTGGGATAACAAAGGGGCTATTTAATATTATAAAGAAGTATTTACCCTTTTCTCTAAATCTCTTGTATTAAAAGCACAAATACCATGATTCGCATACCTATCTTTTATCTGAACACACTTTTTCTTCCAGATGCCACTGTAGATTTCATTCCTTCTCCTCATTTAAGTAGGAAGATAAACAACCTTTTCCTGTCTGGCCGATAAAAATTCAAGTTGCCCTTACAAAATATCAACGAAATGGCCAATTCAATTGGAACTCTATTAGCCCCACATTCGATTCCCATTCGCTTTCGATTCGCTTTAAATGACCAACAAATCGCACAGAATCCCTCAAATTCCCGAATCCACTGAATACTTTGACTCGCCAGCGGCAATATTGTGCTGACTAAACGGAATGGGAGTCGGAGACCGGCATGTAAAGCGAAATCAAATCACGTACAGTGTCCGTTCCGTTACTGGCCAATATCTGCTGACCAAATTTCACGCAGCTGCAACAAATCAAAGAGCAAAATTTCGGACGACTCAGGCGAACGAGTGCTAAATAAATTGAAAATTCTAAAATTTTAATAAAAATTGTCGCAATATTGCAATAAAATTCGCATGATTGCCGGTCGGCCAGTTGCCCATCTTTGATTCAGGGAATTTCTGATTTTTAAACCGTCTATGGGTATCACGTGCAAATGCAATTCCATTTTTTCAAACGTCAACTGCAACACCATTTTGATAAATATATATATCTGTATCTCGTGAGTTTTTCTTTTTTGAACTCTACCACTTTGTGTATGTCAGTGGAATTGGGGATTTTGTTGTTGAGTCAGTAGTATTTTGAGAAAATTCAGGTGGAAGTGTTGTTTTGTGAAATGGTGATTCCCTATCTATGTTCAGTATCATTTTGTAAATGATATTTAAAATGTGAGCTGTGAAATATAATACTTTTGGTTTGTGGACCAAAATTTCTAAGCTATTTTCCATATAATTTAAAGTTTCTAAGGGTTAACACAAATATTTTTAAGCAAGATAAGTATTTTAAAAACATTAATGTTTATTAGACAAGTAAAAACCGGCACCGAAAAATTAAAAAGAAATTGTTTTAAAATATAAAAATTATAAAAATGACTTTAATGTTTTGGTTATATATTTATATTATTTTTAAAGCCACGTCCGGCAGTCGCAAAGATTCCTTTCCCATACCCAACAAATACATTTAATTGAATTTTATCCCGTTTTTAAAGCGAAACTATCAGATTAATTAATAATATTTATGTGCGGTATTCGATGCACACGCTGAAAACAAGCGGAAGGCATTGTTTGTCCGTTCGATTTTGACAGATACATAATTAGTTTTTGCACACCATAAGGCCGCAGGTGCCGTTGCTGTTTTCATTTGTCCAATGCACCCGACTATGGATATATAAATATGTGTATTTTTTTAAGCCACAAAAGCTATCTATGCTTGCGCATTTTATGCGATAGAGCTGCGAATGAATTTTTGTATAAATGTTTATGGATATTTACCTCGAGCGGCGGCGGCGCCAATGCAAAAGCCGAATATCAGCAGGCGGCAGAGCCAACTGGATGAGGATTCGGATTCGGATGTGTATTTGGATTTGGATGTGGATGTGGATGTGGATGTCCTTGTCGCCATTTTGTCGAGCTGCGAAAATGGCGGCGTCTTTGGCGCCATTGCGTTTTGCTTTGCCAAAAAAATGTCACAACAGCTGCAAAGAGAGTGTCGAAAAAAGGATAGAAGTGTTGAGATATTTGCTGGAAATTCCCCTGTTCCCCTGCAAAAAAAAAACAGTTTGATTTCTTAACGGCAGTGAGTGAATTTAATGCAAAACATTTACTTTCAATTAGATTGGGTCCCTCATGCTGTTTTCAATCGACTTTTCCCCCACTTTAAAGGCTTGGTAATTTTGCGCACCATATAACTCAAATCAATTTCGCTAATTAGCAAAAGTCTCATGTAATCAGAGAATGTCTTTTGCACTGGCAAGCAAAATAGTTGTAAAATAATTAAATGTAATTTGAGAGGCAAAACAGAAGGAAAACTTGAAGATGATTGCTAAAATTATTGTTTAAATTAGGGTAAACATTATAACACAAATTAAAAGATTTTATGTTATCCTCAAAGTCATCAAAAAATATTAAAAGGAAATTATAAGCTTTAAAGGAGAATATAAATTATTTTATACTTTTCAGGAATATGAAGTTTCAGAAATATGTATAATAGCTAGGACATTTTTCCACCTTATATTCTAAGAAATCATTGTAACTCTCATTTATAAGACTTTTTTCCCCTAGTGAAAGTGAATATTTCCCTATCCCGAAGCGGGAAAATAAATTACTTCGGTGTGAAGTGAGCTGCGAGGTGTTTTGCTGGTGGAAATGTCCCCATTTTCATTTCGCGCTCACTTTTTTCCCCTGGAAGCCATCTTCACGCCTCGTTCGGTTTCACTTCCACAATTACCATGCCCACATCCCCTCGGCCTTTGTCTGGGCCATTTAATAAGTTAATTGTTACTGCTGTTGCACTTTTGCCGCTTTTGAATTTACGATTAGCCGCAACCGCCGAGCGGTGCAATCAGAAGCCAAGTATTTAACGCTGCTCAAGGACTCCCAAGACATGGCCTACTTCCACTCCGTCCTTTAGCCACCCAAACACCCACCCAGCCAACACCCATTTGCCCAACCATTTTGACTTGGCCAAGTTTACTTTAAGCCAGCAGTGACAGTTCCACATAAATGTCAACTGCTGCGGTCCTGCTGCGCTTTATGCAGTCCGACTTTTATGCATTTCTAGTGCTTCCCCTCTGATAGAATTCATAGCTGCCAAGGACTCCACATAGTCCATGGTCCGTAGTCGGTAGTCCTGTTTCCCCTCCCAAAGGACCTCCCTTTACTCACTCCGTCCATCCCATCTTGACTCGTCCGAGTCATTATTGTCGTCTGCTTTTTCACTGGTCGCTGTAACTGCTGCCTGACTTTGTGTCAACTCCATAATTATAGTTTCTGCTATTTTCTTATAGCTTCTGTAACAAAAAACTTTCAATGAGCTGGGCACAGTGGTTTTTGTTTTTCACCCTAAGTTAAAATATACGTTACCAAGAACTAATTATTTACTTGATATAATTATTCAGTTAAATATTTGTATACTAAAAATGACATTGCTATAAAAAATAAATTTAAAATCAAAATGTATTGATTCGTTGCACTATAAACCATTATATGAGGTAGAACTATGAAATTACAAATAAAACTGGAGAGTGTGCAACAGTGACCCATTGATTAAACACTATTTTTGAACTTTTTCGTCTTACAAAATTACAGCTAAAGCTCTCTTTAAGTTTTATGACTTGATCAAAAAACTCAAAAATAATACAACCTTCAAGCAAATAAATATTGCACCAAAGCTAGACGTACCCATGCTGGATTATCGGATCAATTTGGCCTTAATCAACCTGAAAATCCGCACAGAACCCACGGTTGAAGAACTTAAAGTTGCTCTACATGGAGTCAGCCAGCAGCAGCCATACACATAAAACTGCAGAGATTCTATTAACCCAAGAAATTATGAGAAATGAAAACTTATTACGAGAAGTCATTAAAATTCAAAGAATTAAAACTTGAAAAAGTAAAACTGAAAATGAAGCAGAGCCAAAGCGTTGTTGCACCGATGTTGCTGCTTCTGAGAGAAATATATGTATATATATATTATATATATAGTATTATAGTAGTTCGCGAATCGGGGAAAGTCGACGACTTATGACAAAGTCGAGGGGTGGTGGGGGATAAAGAAAAGGCAGAGGCTGCGTCACTGGCAGCGCATTTTCCTCCTTTCAAGTTTCAACTACTTGGGCGGCAAAGGAAAGTCATAATTGTTAATGGGCTTTTAGCTTAAACGAATCTTTACTGCGAAAATGCCTCTGTATAATACCGAATTCTGTTTAAGTTTTAATTAGATTTTTAATATATTACCGAATGTGAAATATGGCGAGTGCAGTAAGTCTGATTAAAAAACTTTTTTCCCTTATGATGTATGTTAAATCATTTTTTTGTTGCGCTATTGCATTGTGATTTTTCATTTTAAACGTTTTTTTTTTCCCTTATTTTTTGTACTGTTTGTTGTTTGTCTGTATTTTTTTTAATGCACGCCTGGTTTAATGAGCCGGCTATTAAGGCGCACCATCATTACGCAATGTCAGTTGGCACTTTTATCAATGTTTCCTGTCAGTTTCGAGAACTTTGCGCCGCGTCACGACGTCACGAGTGTCAGCGCCAGCGATTTTCATATTCACTGTGCATTTTTATCAGCCATTTGCCGACTCATTAAGCCAACGTCAATGTCCCGCCGACCACCTCCCATTATTCCCCCGGGGGCCCTGATTCGGATCCTGATTCTGATTCGAATTCTTCTTGATGATGGCTTGGCTGCATTTAAAAAACGTCATTCCCGATTGAGTTTTACATGCTTTTAATTGACGTCGTCATGTAATGAAATTCAATTTATACTGCTCGCCATTAATAGTAACTCATACCGATGCCACACACTATCTGCCTGCAGAGGAAAAGCTAATAAATCTTTATTTTTATAACTATATAATTTTTTAGTACCTACTTTAATCGAAATAAAATCAATGATAAATAAACCATAATTGGAGAATAAAGCAATTAATCAAGTAATAGCTACATCGATTTGTTGAGAACTGAAAATGTGGTTTTAATATTTTTATTTCCCTCATAAATCAATGATGTTATAACCATTTGCATTGTAATTCTTCCCCTGTGTAGAGTATCTTTACCTCAACTTAACTGCACCCAAGTCGACATGAATATGCAGCACGTGGGCGACGAGTGAGTGCAGCACGTCCGTAATAGCACCCTTGCATATAAGAAATCTATATGTTATGTAAAGTGTGTTCTAGAACAACATCAACCCATCGAACATGACAACCAAGTGTCGGACAACTTGAAATTGAATATGCGTTTTATTTTATTAACAAGTTATGCTATGTTATTTCAGCTTGTTCGCATTTTCATTTTATAGCTAAAACAATTGTGCCATAATTGTTCTGATATGAGCTTGCCAAGCAATAAAACCTACACAAAACTGGAATTGTTTAAAGATAATCTTAAATAATTATTATAACTAAAAGTTATGGCTTTCCAAAAGTATCTAGTGGATTTTAATAAGTTGTTTATTACTTTTTCACAATGTTAAGTAGTTGTGACTAAGCTTTAGCAATCTACTTGAAATGTAATCAATAGCAGAGATCTGTACAAATCCATTTATAATACTCAGATATATATCTTAGTATCGATAATGTTCGACACTAATGTTTTCCATTAATCGGTAATCTTATTTGTGACATAATAAGCCCCAGACAATCTTAATTTGCATTGATTATCACGCTCAGTTTCATGCGAATGCAAATCAGAATGAAACAAAAACAAGTTTTATCAGATAAAATTAAAGTGAGCTTAACAGCCACTTAAGGCTTATATAATTTAATGGGCAAACATTTTTCTGGTCATTACGGTGAAGTCCGGTGGCTGCTTTTTAAAGTCGCGTGCCCGCAAAAAAACCATATATAAATGGCAAAAAGAAATGCAAACAATGTGAGGGAGAGAAAATAAAATCGGTTGTCACGATTTCAATGAAAATTAAAAATCCCAGCATGCATTGAAAGCATTTTAATTAAAGCCGACCAGCGCCGCAACGGTCTAAATTGATGAACACTCACCAAAAATATTAATTGACTTTTCCGCTGGCCAAAATGCGTCGCGACGGGCCGAAAACATCATTAACGCAAATATAATTACGTGACAATTTGATGCTTTTGCCGAGGCACAAATCGCAAATCAAAAAGCGAAATTAATTACACCCAGCAGCCCGACGAAATCGAGGCGTGCTGAGCCACCCAAGGGATCAATCAGTGCAAAGTCGCGAAGGTAAACAATAAAGCGCCGGCCGCGACATTCATGCAAACACGGCTCAGTCCACAATTCCCAGTGTCCAGTCAAGCGGACCTTCGGTGAATCAAAAAAAAAGGGTCGCCGCCGCTGTTTAACTTTGAAAAATTAAAATCCACGTGGGTCCCTCGTGCCGAACCCCTCCGAAAAGCCAACAGCGAAAAAAACACCATCCCTAGCGGATAGTCTCGCATTTTTCAATGGCCAAATAATAAAGTCCCCAAATGTCAGTTGGGAGTTATAATCTGTTTGCCGGTTTTTCATGGTCGCCATTTGACTGCCCAGCACGGAAAAAAAGGGGTATGTTTGGAGTATTATGTGGAGACAGGGGTTGGCAGGGATCATAAAGTGTATTTCTACTTGATGGAGGGATTATCAATATACCAATAGACGATAATATATGGAAATAACTTGATTATTTGATTGATTATTTATAAAAATTTTTTTTTAGAAACTCTTAAAATTGAGGAATATTTTAACTTTTTGGTAGTATTGATTGTAGTACTCATTTTTAAAAGAGGTATTATATTTCATCCTTGATCCTAACGAAATATAAAAAAATTATAAGATTGATTTATTGATTTATATTTAAGAAAACATATTAACAAAGAACAAAAAATACCACCTTACACTTCAAACCAAGCTCCACTTAGAACCTCTTAAAAATCCAAAAAATTTACAGGGTATTTCCCTGGTCGACCCTTTCTTGTTTGCCCAATATTATCTTGTTCTTTTTGTCTGTTTT